TTGATGCAAATTGAAACCCTAATTTGAGGTAGACTGCCTTAGGAGAGAGTTTGTCTGGTCAACCTTTGGACTTCTTTGAGCGATTTGAGGACCTCATTTGAAATGTATTGAAAAATATGGGAGGGAAAATTTTGGGGTACAACAGCTACCCCTGTTAAATCTTCTTAAACCTGAGGATGTAGATTGGCTTGCTTGCCTTTCGTGATCCGAAGGTGGAAGATGATTGAACACTAGAGTGCCCAGAAATTTGCACTCGCATGAGGTGGTACTTGTCTTGCGATGTTGGGAATGGGCTTATAGATGCCATTTGGAGGTTGATGACAGGAGATGGGCTTAAAGTTGCCATCCGAAGGAGTGTCGATCGCATAAGAGATTCCTTTGCGAGAGCCAGTATACCTGTTGTTGAGGAGGACTTTGCTGGGGAATGCTGGTCTCTGTCTTGAGAGAAATAAAATTTTAGGAGCTTCAGTAGTCCGTTATTCTACTGGGGAATCATCTCTTAGTCGGAGAGGTGCAAATGAACTGCTATCTGGTTGTGCTCCAGGCTTCACAGTGATTTGCTGAGGAAAATAAGATTGACTGCTATCTGGTCGTGCTGCAGGCTTCATAGCGACTTACTGGGGGGATGAGATTAAACTTGCTATCCGGTTGTAATCCAGGCTTTGAAATTTCTCACTTCTTATCTGGTCGTGCTCCAGGCTTCAGAAGGAATTAAGTTGTTATCCGGTCGTATCCGGGCTTCAACTTGAATTTAAGGCAATACTAATATCCGGTCGATTCCAGGCTTCTTAGTAATTGGCCGGGTAAACTGTTATTCGGTTGAATTCCGAGCTTCGCAGTACCTTATACTGTTATCTGGTCGTATCCCAGGCTTCAGTATTCTTTGCCGCTATCTAGTCGTAATCCAGGCTTCACGGTATCCTATACCATTATTTGGTCGAGTCCAGGCTTCATGGTGTTTGTAGAAATCAAGATATTATCCGGTCAAATCTGGGCTTTATAACTTGCATTAAAGATAAACCACTATCTGGTCGATTCCAGGCTTCATAGTATTCTTTGCTGCTATCTGGTCGTAATCCAGGCTTCACAACGTCTTATACCATTATCTGGTCGAGTCCAGGCTTCATGGTATCTTGATGAGGGTTAAGCTGTTATCCGGCCGATCTCCGGGCTTCACATCTTGTGTTTATGACATACCACTATCTGGTCGATTCCAGGCTTCATGGTGTCTTGTACTGCTATCTGGTCGACTTCCAGGCTTCACAGTAACTTGCTGGGGATTCAACTATTTTCTGGTTGATTTCCGGGCTTCATAGCTTTGAATTCGGGGTATACCACTATTTGGTCGATTCCAGGCTTCGTAGTATTTTGGTACTATTATCTGGTCGTTCTCCGGGCTTCACAGTATGAAAGAGAAATCAAGATATTATCCGGTCGGATCCGGGCTTCATAGCTTGAACTGGAACAGAGATCTTAGCACCGATTTGACTGAACCAGAGACAACTTGTGAGAATTTGATTGTATCTTTCCCTGAAAGGTAAAGAGTTAGTTGTATGTAATGTCGTGATGTATGAAATGTATTGAGCAATGATGCTCTCAAAATAAATGAGATTGTGCTGTATGATGCATATGCGCATGCCATGATGTATGGATGTGCAAAAGTTCTCGTGATGTTTTCTAGCTGGGGAAAATAAATCCCGGATTGCTGCTGGAGAATACAAGGAGTTGAGTTCCTCATTCTCGCTGGGGGTAACGACCGAAGATGATTTGAGAATAAATGGGCGAGAGAATGACTCTGTGGGGATGAAATAGTGATCTACACCATAAAAGAAATAGAATCTGACAAACCAGTCATAAATTTATGCCAACAAGAATCATGCTACAAACAACTTCTCTATTAGCTTGCTCTTAGCCATATTAATGCACTATAACAAATAAAAACACTTCCCAAATTGATTTTATACAGAACAACATTGAGCATTTTAGGTTATCATGATTTTAGTAAAACTCTGATTCAAGAAAGAACCTACCATGAGAAAGGGTCAGTCGGGGTGGATGACAACCGAGAGAGACGGTGGAGGACGGAGGGAAAGGGCTGGTCGGACGAAGGACGACGGACAGAGCTTGACGACGGCGGAAGGAGCTTGGATGACGGCGGAAGGAGCTTGGACAGCGAAGATTTATGAGAGGGAAAGGGTTTTCGTTCGTGAGTCTGAGAGGGAAACGAGTTTGTGAAAAGAGAAATGATATTGATTCTATTTTTAATTTTAATTTATATGCCTTTAGACAACACTTTTTAGAAAGTGCTGGCTAATGTGGTCTTTTAGCAGTGCTTTTGAGATTTTTTTTTTTAAATTTTATATGACTTTAGACAGCGCTTTTTAAAAGTACTGTCTAAAGTGGTCCTTTACCAGCGCTTTCTAAAGCAACACTTTTAGCAGCGCTTTTTAAAAGCGTTGTCTAAGGTCACATTTTTAGCATCGCTTTTATTTATTATTGTATACAGTTTCATTATTTTTTTTAAATTCACTTATAGTCGCGTTTTTGTATAAAAGCATTGTCTAATGTGCGCTGTTAAAAGCCCTTTTTGGCGTAGTGAACAAAGATTTGACTTTCATGAGACCTACTTACAGGTGGTCAAGACAACAAAAATTTGAGTCATCATATCCTTGGACATCACTTACAAATGAGAAGTATAACAAATTAACAAAAACAATGCTTTCCTAAATTGTGATCTCCAATGCAGATGTTTATATGCAACAACCACCAGATTTTATTGACTTGAATTCCACATTGGTGTGCAAGCTGAGAAAATCCATTTATAGGATGAAGCACGCCCTAAAATCCTTGTATGGAAAGCTTTACCATGTCTTAATTCAATTTGTCTTCACTTCAACAAAATGAAATCACTCTCTTTTCATCTATAACCATCATAATGTTACCCTATATGCATTATTGTATGTTGATGACATACTCCTCAAAAGGTCATCCTCCATATTTATTCATGATCTCATCACCAAACTTCATGATAAATTTGCATTGAAAAAGCTTGGCATTCCTCAATACTCCCTAGACATTGAAGTACATTGCCAAATCAATGGTTATATGTTGCTGACTCAAATAAAACACATTAAGAATCTTATGTCTAAAGTCAATTTGGCTTAAACAAATGGAGTGATCAAACCTATGTTTAACCATTGCAAGCTAAAAAATCATGGAGATGACACAATTGCGTATCCTTCTCTTGATAAACCCATATTGGATGTCTTGCAATATGTCACACTTACACGAACATACATAGCATTTTATGTCAATAAAGCATGCCAATTCATGGCAAATCCACTGGAATTATACTAGAGAGTCATCAAACACATACTCTAATATCTAAGTGGTACAATAATTCATGGTCTAACAATAACACCGGCCAATACTCTACAAAAGTTCTCACTAAGAGCATATAATGACTCAGATAGGGCAAGTGACCCCGATGATAGAAGATTAACCTCAAGGACTTAGGTGTACTTTGAACCTAATTTTGTAGCATAGAATTCAAAGAAGCAATCGCTTGTTTCAAGGTCAAACACAAAAATAGAGTATAGGGTATTGGCATGCACGACTTCAGAGTTGTTATGGCTAGAATCACTCTTGTTTGAACTTAACATTGCTTACTTGGTGCCTACTTTACTCTTGACAAACTTAGTGCATCAATGTCGTCTCACAATTCAATCTTGCATGTTAGAATAAAATACATTGAACTTGATATTCATTTTATCTGGGAGAGGATTGTGGCAAACAAACTGAAGATTCAACATCTTGTATGAAATCATCTTGTATAAAAGAGACACTCTAGCTTCTTCAAAGACAATAAACACAATCCCAAAAGCATGAAGATCTTGCTCACGTATCTCTCTCTTCTACTCTACGAATGATTCCACTTTAATAAAGCTTATACATTCAAATTTTTCTGTGAACTAGATCTATTCTTCCCAAGTTCCCATCAAACACATATAAATTTGTCCGACGGAACTGCCACCCGAAAAGTCCATCATCAGAAAACGGTCGAAAATGGACTCAAAACTCAGGTTAATTGCAGATGAAAATTTTTTTTTCCATGACCGACCGACCTATCTGTTTGTCCACCCCTAAATCGACAATGCAGCTTGTTAGACTGAAAATTTCCTATGATCAACTAGATTCAATTTTAATTTTTTGTGTGTGAATTTTTAGATACTGTTTGCCAGCTCGGTCTATGTTTATAACAAACAAAAGTTCTGTTTTTACTAAAATTTAGATAGACCTTCTAACCTGAGTAGTGCTTTTTAAAATAAAACAAAGCTAAACAATGACGTCTCTATAAAACGACAGCTTCTGCAAGAATGTAACTTGTTACATATAATATACACTTAGATCTAGAAAGAGATTGAGTGAGTTGGAGGGAGATCAAACAATACAAAATAATTTAGAAAATATAGCAACTCCTTATCAAGACTGTATTATAAGAATTTTATACAAAATATGTAATCACAAACGACAAAAGAAAACAATACTATTAAACAAGAAGTAGTTGGAACAGTTTCTACCAAACCAGAACCTTTTCACAACATGAAAGATGGAAGAAAGAGGTCTATACAATATGTCAAACCTTCTAAAAAGAACCATCCCAATAATGATTAAAAAATGAAGAATTACACATGTGTGGAATTAACATAGTTAATGAGTCAATTCAACTATGCAAAAAAAGAACACAACAGAAGAAAAACACTTTTGCACCATCTGTTGAAATTCCACACACCGACCTTGAACACAAGAAAACAAATGAATCATACATGTGAAAATTTGAAAAAACGGATATCAGACTCTCCAACCGCAGGACTTTCCTTCATGTATCTTATATTCCAGAATCCTTAGCAAGGACGAAAAAAGATTGAAAGCACTGTGGTAAAAATCGTTGTTGAGTAAACTTATTGATGTAGATTAAGTAATATTAATCCATCAACTTGTTAATTATTATTGATGATTAGTGCCTGTCTTATGCTTCCCAGGAGATCCTTTGCTGTCACACAGTTTTCCTCGTTCATCTGCAACATAATTAATTAGTTATAAATTATGAATTATGATCACCTTGGTTTAGCAATTCAATGAATTAACTAATCTGATATAATATTAAATATTTATGTACCTGAGCAACAATAGTTAGATCAAGAATGTTGTTTCCAAAGGGCAATAGGTTACTACTTTGAACTGTGAGATTTAGGTTTTCTAATTTGCCGAGTACCGTAGAGGTAGAGGCACGTCCACTGTGTTTTTCACATTGAATTTTGATGAGTACATCTTTTCTTGAAACTCTTACTTCGATTTCAGGAAGTGTCTGGTTGTTGTTGGAGTTGCTGCTGCCATCATCATCATGTTTATCAGTGAAGATAACAGATCTCTTCACTTGTATTGCAGATCCAGTTTTTCTGTTGTCTTCAGCTTGTTCCTCTAGTGTATGCAAACGTTTTTGTAGTTTTTTCATATAGGTTATTGCATCTCCCAACACAGAAGCTTTATCCATCTACACATGTTATTAATTCATAAATATGAATAAAATAATTCCACACTTACAAGTATATTCCTAGTCTGGTTCAACTTAATTGGTGTTAATTTTCTAATTAGGTTAAACTAAGATATTAAGATCATACCTTCTTGAGACCAGGAAGGATGGCAGAAAGAGCAATGAAACTTCTGGTGAGCTTTTCCCTTCGTTTTCTTTCAGCCAATACATGTTCTTTTGCTTGAGTTGTGTTCCTAGTCTGATTCACTCTGATATCATAATTTGCGGCAAAATCTTTGTTTTCTTTACATCCTTTCTCGAGTTTAGGCTTTACATCAGAATAATCGAGGTTGAAAAGTTTGTTAGAAGCAACTGGCGTTGCATTGAAGTGCTCAAAAGAAATGAGTTGAGGCGATGAATAAGAAGAAGAAGGTTTAGGGTTTGAGGCTATCAAATAATCAGTGGCTTGTTGAGTGTCACTTAATGTCTTGATCTTCTTGGTTGGTCTTGTTGGAGAAACATAGTGATCATCAGGATGAGTTTCAAGTGGTAAACAATTTGGTGCTGTTTGGTAGTTGTTGTCAAAGTTAAAGCCAAAGTTGTCAAATGGAGATGAAAGAGAATCCATTGGGTATTGGTGAAAGAAACTGAGATCCTCAAATTCCTCCTGTTCAAAAGTAATAAATATATAAGAGTAAGTTTTCTTCTTATAACTCTACTCCAGTTTCCCACAAAAAGATAGACTATTTTTGATAGATAGATTTTGGTATGCTTACAAGTTCAGGCACATAGATGGGGGACACAATTTGCATCATCTTCAGTTTCCTTCCAAAATATTTGATTTTTTTTTATATAGTGGTTGGGACATGCACTGAAATAGAGTGAAAAACAGAAGAAATTTTAACAATTGAAATCTTAGAATTAAAGAAAACTAAACACATGGAAGAAAAGTAGATTGAGAAAATAGGGTACCTTGATGTTGAAGAAACTTAGAAGAGACAAGTGGATGAAGAAGAGATTATTAATTTTCCCAAAAATGGTAAGGTGAGAAGTGCATAGTTGTGAGTTTTATATATAGAGAGGCAGCATACACGCTTCATACACGTGTGAAAATGGATCCATATTGTTTCCATTACGGCTAATACCCGTTTACTCGTTTTTAAATATAGTCAAACTATGGGTTCTATGATCATCTCACTCTTTTTTTGAAAAAATTTAACACGTCCTTTTAAGAAATTTAAGGTTTAAAGTTTGTTGGACCGGAAAATGATTATGAAATCTAAGATATGTCGGGTTGTCCAGTTTTTGCATTATTGGTTTCGTAGCTTGCAAAAATGAGTAAATTACCAATAATTCAAAAAATAAAAAACAAGATAGAAATTAAGAGTTAGTTGATTTATGTATTCCGTCCAACTAAAAGTTTTTTTCCTAGGTGGAATTATAAATATGGGAGATTCAATAGATTTGAGCTCTGATGCGATGGAGTACGTATTCGATATGGCGGAGTGGAGTTGATTTGCAAGATTAATACTTTAACGCTCAAGTCACTGAGAATAAGTGATAGAGTAATTTGAGTGTGTGAATGAGAGAATACTTGAAACGGCGTGTACTGGAGTTTATATAGTGTGGATGGTTAGAGTCGTTCTCGTGTGATCTGACGCCTCACGTTGGTGAATACTCTAAGTCATCAATGCTTTAGCGCTCACGTTCTTAGACTCACCCTCTCATGGTTGGGCTTTAACACCCTTGGGCATGTGGTCATCCTACAACAATTGCCCCCAAAGTCTGCCATTACATGGGAAAGATACTTTTTATAGTATCGGGTTGTTGTCCCATTTGTCTGTGGTCTTGATGACAGATTCCTATCAATGTAGAAGTGGAAAAGTTGAGAGAGTTAGAACAAATAACCTTGGAAACACACGCATAAAATGTGAGTTTTGTCACTAAAATGTTTCGCAAGAACATTATGCCACATGGTCCTATACTCCTAGAGTAGGGGAGACATTTCTCTTTAGAATGCTTAAGTGCACTCGAGTGTCGTTGTGATCTCGAGTCGAAGTTTGTCCATTGATTTTTGTTAATCTGTCTTCCTTTGTTCTAGGTCGTTGATTCCTCCCCCTCGTTGCATCATATCAGGATACTTTTTCTTCTCGAGTTACATTTCATCTTTTACGCAAATTTCTCTTCATATTTGTCTTTCCTTTTCAAATTTCGCAACTGCTTTGGTTCCTCGCGCTTCGAGCAATTTTTATTGTAACTTTAGTTTCACACCTTTGATCTTTATCAAGTACCATTTCTCTTCTTCTTATTTACTATAGTAACTTCATGCTCTTTCTTTTAGCAATGGTCAATTTAGGATAAGAATATGCAAATATCATATACATACTCAGTGAAGATGAAGTTTATGACGCCTTTCTCGCATAGGGGTGGTAGACCCATAAGTAAAGTGTATCATTCCTTTGATGGGTTCTCTCTTTTTGGCCAACCTTATAGTCCTTAATGACAACTTTATGTTTAGGGAGGGTTCTATCAAAAGTGATAGCATACCCATGAATCCCCATTTCAATGGAACTACACATAAACTTGTAGGAGGAGTTAGAGCGGTAAACTTAGATCTTCCCATTATTGTAGAAGTCGGTGCAAGATCACTTTCTTCTGTGTTGTCTATAGCAGATCTTGGGCCTCTTGGAGCGTACTCGAATAATTTGAGGGCTCAATCTTTCATTAGGTTTTTTAATTCTTTGTAAGTTTGCTACCTCAAAACCTCAAGATAACTTGAAAAAAACTCCAACTTTCAATCTTGTAAAAGGTTTCATGCTCATAGTTGTTGAATAATACCATCAGTGTCAACACCTTGAAAACATTTATCAACACGATGATCACATCCATTCAAAACACCATCAACATCTTGATCAAAAACATCAAGACTGACAAACGTCATCAGACAACAACTTATTTTTTTATACCAAAGGAAATAAATATTATACATAAGGTATGCACATGCTTTGCACAACTTTATTGAATTTGCAAGGCAGACTCCTTCAAAGCGGAAAAGCGTTCAATTTTCATCTTTATTGGTGGAGATGTTAAGATTTATTTATATATTCATTAGGTGAATATGTTTAAGTAATCATTCATATGATCGATGACTTTGTAACCGAAAATAGTGTTGAAGCTTTCTTGTCTTTCAATTTTAATCTACATCATATCAAAAACATCATTTCACAAGAATTCGTTAGTAGCATTGACGAGTAAACACGCACAAGGAAAATGTGTTTTGTTCAAAAAAAAGAGTTATATAATTCTTCCTTATTAAAAAAAATTCAAGCAAAAAATTTCTCAGACTATCAAACCAAGTTGTAAGAGCTTGTCTCGGATTGTAGAGAGCCTTTTTTATTTATTTTGAAAACATGAATAATAAAAGTTTCATATAACTGGGAGGATGATCAACATACAATTCCTTCTGGATACAACCTTTCAAAATGCACTATTTACATCCATATGGAAGAGTTTAGGAAAATATAATGCATGAGAAAGATATAAGCATTCTTAGGGCTTCTAATTGAGCTACATGGGAATAAGTTTCATCTAAATTTATGCCTTCATGTTGATTGTGACCTTTCACAACAAGTCTTATTTTATTTCTTAAAATATTTCCAAAAATATCGAGCTTGTTGCAAAAGACCTACTTAGGTTTTAATCACTAGATTAGTTGAAGCTTTGGGAACAAGCTCCCAAATATTTTTTCTTTAAAATTGGTTTATCACTTCTTGCATATAAAAAGACAAATGTTTGTCGATGATAGCTTCTTCATTTACCTTTGGCTCAATTTGCGAAACAAGATACATACATTGTTAAGGGAGCGTCAAGTAATAACCCCCATAAAGATATCACCAATTACATTTTTAATAGGATTCTCTTTGTCCTTCCTTCATTCCTTTGAAAGATCTTGTTTATCTATAGAATTTTCTTCAATTATAATTTGATCTTGATCTTGATCATGTTCAACTTATTTATCTTTATCCTCTAGAGTCGTCTTTTCCAAGATGCCTCAACAATCAATGACCTCTACTTCTTCCTTCTAGGGGTTGGTTCAAAAAAGGTATAATATGTATGAGTTTTTCTATAGTCATGATCTTTTTGAAAAGAAGTTTAGAAAGAGAAAGAAGATTTTATTTCAAGGTTTAATGACCATGCTTATATAAGAACTAAACATATTATATTACCTTTTTTAGACAACTTGCTTATTACTAAGTAACTTGTGCTATAAAACTTCAATAAATTATAGCAACTCAAGGGTAATATTAAGGATCTTACCAAAAATCACATACTCAACAATTTTCCCTTTTTTTATTATGTGAAGAAACTTCACTCCTCATATGAGTGAAATAAGAGAGCGCATTTATTTCTTTAGTTGTATGACTTTAAGAGCCATTGTCGATATCATCTTTTGAATTCAAGTTGTCAAGTGTGGGATATTGGATCAAACTCTATTGGGTCGAAGGTTAGCTTCTAGTTCGATAGGGAATAAGCATGAAGTCGGAGCATGCTCACATGCTGGTGTCGAAGTATTATATGTTGTAGTTGAAGAAGGGTTAAGAGTGTAGTTGTCGAAGAATGCTAAGATTGGTAGCATCGAATTGGACTTGTTTGTTATGTCAAGTTGTTTAAGTTAGCTTGTACCCTAAGTTAGCTTTTAATGAGTATTTGTGAAAAAGCCCATTAGTTTAGTATGTTAGATTTATTATAAATAGCATACTAGTCTCTCATTATTGCATACTGCAAATCCTAACTTAGGATGAGAGGGTTATTTGTTATTCTTGTGCACTTGTGATCTTGTTAAAGAGAAAGTAAAAAATAGCAGTTAATAACCAATCCTTGTGTTCTTCTTGTTTTTCCATCTTTCCTGCCCTTGATTGTTTCTTTATCATAGATAAACAATTTATACTTTGTTTCCAAGGCATCGTTTTCATAAAAAAATGGCGCCGTGAGCATGGAGAAGATTCCTTCAACAGAGTAAGAGATTGAAAAGTCACCAGAGTGAACGATTTTGGTCTGTGGCGCTTGAAGATGAAAGCCCTACTGGTTCAATGGGGTTGTTTGGAAACATTGAAGGGAGAAACAACCATGAATACTGTGTTAATGGCAACTGATAAGATGATAATGATAGAGAAAGCCCACAGTGCAATCTTGTTGTGCCTTGGTGATAAGGTTATTCGACATGTATCAAAGGAGACGACGGTGACAGGGTTATGGGTGAAACTTGAAAGTTTGTACATGACCAAATTGCTGGTAAATCTACTCTACCTGAAGCAAGCTTTATATTCATCCAAGATAATTGAAGACAAAGTGTTGGCTGGGAAGTTGGGTATGTTCAATAAGATCATTCTTGATCTTGAAAATATTGATGTGAAGATTGATGATGAAGATCAAACTTTGTTGTTGTTGTGCGCTTTGCCCATATATCACATGCTCACTTCAAATAAACCCTCTTGTATGGAAGAGAGTCCCTGACCTTTGAAGAAGTTCAATCTACCTTGTATTCTAAGGACTTTAATGAATGAAAGAAGCATAAACCTTTGACGGTTGGTGAAGGTTTGGCTGTTATAAGATAATTCTTGCGAAAGGATGGTAAGTTCAACAAGAAGAAAGGTAAAAGTCAGCAGAAGTCTTATAGTGGTGAAGCATCAGGTATTCAATGCTATTATTGTAAGAAGGAGGGTTACACAAGAAAGATGTGCCCTGAACACCTGAAAGATCGTGGAGGTAAGGATAATGGCAACACAACCATTGTTAAAGATGATTTCAAATCATC